CGACCGTAAACTCGATATCCTTTGCACGCCACTGGTTTTTGAGAAGCAACAGGACGTCCAATGCCTAAATACGAAACCCCCAACCCTGAACCTTAAACTTAAATCCTAAACTCTGACCCTATACCCATAGCCATAACCCTGACATGAGCTTGCTATCCTGCATGTCCAAGAAGTGGTTCTCCAGCTGCTTGCGGACGTCCATAAGCTCCTGAAAGACCTTGGGCATCACCTCTTCCAGAGAAGGAAGCTCACTTCCATGAGACTTGCGTGCTTTGATCGTCAACTCTTGAGGAGTGCGGATGCCGGCCACCACATCTTCGCCCTGCGCATTGACCAAGAATTCACCTCAAGCTCTGCGCTGCATGCACATCCAAGGCCAACACAAGCAACGCAACTACCAGTCATACCAAATGCAATCAGCATGCCAACAAAAAGTGATAGGCCTTGCATCGAAAAAATCATCCCGAACCGACAGCTCTTCTGGTGTGCCAGAGCTGTGCAAAACAAGGGAGTTGAAAGAAAAAAGCTGAGTGCGGCGGAGCAACCATAGAAGTCGTTGGTGCCGTTGGACGGGTTGCGCGTAAAGGCAACGCCAGTGGCACAGTCGTTCCCCATATTTCCGAAGACCATGGCCTGAACAAAACGCTCAGTCCAAAACTCCGAACACTGAGCCACGAATCCCTAAACTCTACACATGGACATGCTCTGGCAAACGTGGCCAAATATGACATCTGCACCATCTTATTATTATAAACTGAATGGCCTGAACATTGACAGCGGTACCCCAGGATTCTGGGATGTCGTGCAGCTGCCTGTACGTCTTGGCTCGCCTCAGTTCTGCGTTCCATGGCTAGACTATGGCCAGCAGCTAGCAAGGCGCGAACAATTTCACGAATTCAACATTGCCCATAGCAAACATGCTAGCCGCCCAAAGCCCGTAGCAACCACTCAGCACCAGGGCGCTGGTTCATCCAGGAGTTGAAGACTGCGCCGATTGCCCCCCAGAGCTGTTCCTGCGGATCCTCTGGAAACTCGCGACCTTAAAGTCTTCGAAAACGGGATCGAGGAGCCGCTTCTCTGAAACAGGACGCTGCAAAACAAAAAAACATGGCTATGACGAATTCCTGTCGCAGTCTGTGGCAAGGTCTGCCCAAGTTTCGCAAATTCAAAAGTTCAGCAGTTTGACCACTCTGGAAACAAACTCAGTTCGTGACCCAGCTCCAGCTCCACGCGAGCTTTGTAAGCCTTCGCAAGGTCGGCTTCTCAAGTGGCAACATAAAAGCTTCTCAAGTGGCAACATAAAAACCGGCTATTCTGCTTTTGTGCGTAACACTGGCGAACTCATTTACGAAAGAAAGACTTGGTCCAATCTGCGGCAAAGCAGAAAGGGTTTTGAGCCTTGGTGAGGTTTTCCAGGTCCTCTGTCAACAGCTCATTGTCGAGCCGCACGCCGCGCTTCTCCTGCGGAGGCTGCAGACCACTAGGTTTGCAGGGGAGCAGTACAGACGTGACGGGGTGCCACGTACAGCATACACATTTTCATAGTTTCATGTCTGCGAAGACCCATATTGCCCCATCTCTCCTTCGCCCGGTCCAGCAGTTTCTCGAAGTGGCTGAGTTCTATGTTCAGCACCACATCAGAATACATTTGCACGAACCTGAGTTTTCGCTGAAACCCATTTTTCAATTATTGTTTTTGGAATTTCAATATTCATGAAAACATGAACGTTGTTCCGCATGGTCCAAGAAACCGGCGGTAGCTGTCGAAGGCGAAGCGGCGGTCCCCCGACTGCTTCGCAAGGCTTTCCACCGTGACGTCGTTGAGGCCAAGGTTGAGCACCGTGTCCATCATTCCCGGCATTGAGGCCCGAGCCCCGGAGCGCACAGAGACCAACAAAGGGTTTGTGGCATCTCCGAACTTACGGCCCGTGCGCGACTCCACCAAGGCCAAGGCCTGCTCGACCTGAGCCTTCAACTCCTTCGGGTAAGTACAGCCATGCTCGTAGAAGTAGGTGCAGATCTCCGTGGTCAGCGTGAAACCCGGCGGAACAGGAAGGCCAATCGCCGCCATCTCTGCAAGGTTTGCACCTTTCCCACCAAGGAGATTCTTCATCTCGGCGCGGCCGTCCGCCTTGCCCTCCCCAAAGTCGTACACCCACTTGGAGGCCGCCATCCCTTCTGGAAGAAGAGATATGCCTGAAACCTTCGCACTGATCGGATTTTCTGAAAATGGCTTCGGCACGGCGGGACCAAGTTCCTCAACAACGTGTGGCTTGTAACAACTATTAAACAGCTACTGCAGTGCTCAGACTCTCTGCAAAAACCGCCCCCGGCTCAGCTGCCCTGAGGCAAATCCAAATGCGAGACCACATGTGTTACCTGGGATTTGGTGACACTGTCTTGACCCTGATATCCATACCACTAACAACATCAACCCGGAGCACCAGCATCGCCATGAAGACCATTCCTACTAGCACTTGCTTTGATTTCTGCTACCCAACTACCACGAATAATAGATCTTACAACTCCAGTGAATCTTAATTCACTTAGTGACTGGGGTCCTGTTGCTGAAGTGACTGACCTGCTGCTGGGGAAAGGATAGAACGACATGACTTTCATCGGCCCGGCCTCAGCGCTGTCGCCGCAATGGCCTTGAGCAGCTGTGAGTCTGGCCTCGCATGCTCCAGCCAAGCGAAGGACCTGAGAATTTCGTACGAAGGGGCTTCTTACTGTTCGGGATCGTTTTCGAGCTGCCCCTAATAATAAGGATCATGCCGTCTTTCCGTCAATTTTTTATTAAGTTGTTAGTGAAACTCTCCGCGCAACTCTCGGCTGGTTCAGGCACAGGCAAAAACGCCCCCCTGAGGCTTGGAAACTGGATAACGATGCCTATAAATGCTTTCATACCGTATGAGCAGCGCCGAGCACAGGATGCATTTTTTTCCGACTCTGCTCGTTCATAAAGACTTCGCGAATCAGCGGTCGAGGACCAAAGACGCGGAGAGAAGCCGATGAGAACCTGTTGTACCTGTCAGAGTTGAACTTGTGAGTTGCTTCCACATGCTAGAGATGAGTCGGGGCGTTGTTCAGCTGCCGGGGAAAAGCTTGGATTAACGGAATCCTCGAGCTGCGGCCGCCCACCTTGCCAAATATCCTTTCCGATTCTGTTTAAAGGCGAAAGCGCGTTACCCATGAGTAGACCAGCATGCAGCCCGAAGCCTGGACCAGGTGGGCATCTTCTCCCTGCGTTGCCACCAGGCACCACAGTCGGCCGGGAGCTGCTTCTCAGCATCTTTGGCATAGTCTGCAGCGAGCTCGAACACGTCATTGCCTCAAAGGGCGTCCAGACGGAATTTGACGGAGACTCTTCGACACCTTTCCTAAACACGCAACGAAGAAAACCTGCAACACCAGACCAATGAATATGTGGCAGGAAGTCCCATTGATGCAGGCCGAGCTTCAGCCCTCCGCGTCCTTGCACTGTGGAAATGTCACCAAAAGGTCGCCCTCCACAAAAGCATCGCAATCCATGGTCAAGGCGTTCAGGGCATCGTAGGCATTTAGCTCAAACTGTGGCACGATGGCAGCATGCCGATCAATGGGGTCTAGCTCTCCAGCATCGGCTCCTTTCTGCGTGGCTTCCAGTGCCTGTCCTCAGCAGCTACTGGCCCTGCATATTAACGAACTTACTGCATCTGCATAAGTACATCCACTGTGATCGAGCTGGAAAATGATGACGCATTGCCAGGTTTGCAACTCGGCCACTGTTCATGAGGTTAAGGATCATGGCATCCTGATCGCCAAAGAGCTGCAGCTCCACGTGCGCAGCTGTCAGTGCATCGTGTAAAAACTTCATCGACCAGGCGCTGTGCCTAATGATCCAATTTGCAGAGCTCAGGCCCCACCCTTCTTCAGTAATGAGCAGGTTCACCTTCATGGCAGCTACCGATAACTCGAGTCAACCCGAACAGTCTCGACCTCTTGGCTACACTCGCCTTCTACTTTTCAAGGTTTCTGCCATGTTCTGCCCTCTGCCTCCGGATCAAGCAAGCTGGCATTGCAGCCCGGCCCCGGCGCTCTGCAGGGCTCACGGCAAGGTTCCATCTTGTCCTCCAGCTCGTGTACCCACACCGCTCCATTGTCCCACTTAAGGCTCTCCACTTGCCTGGGAATTCCCTCGACGTCCTTCTTCCAAACAATGCTGGCCTGCAGCGGTCCGCCCGGAAAGTCCATCTCCAAGCGGCCATCCACCAGCCTCCCTCCGGAATGGCCGATCTGCTGTGCCTCTGCCTGCACTTCGTCACTGTCGCTGTCCCTGGAGATATAAATCGCCCCTTCCTCTCGGAACTCATCAGCCACCCATGAGTCGAGCCACTTTCCGGTCAGCAAGTCCAGGTCTTCGGCATCCTCACCCTCGCCACACACAGGAGCAACCTCCGTGTCTGGCCCTCCGCCTTGCCTGTATTGCGCATACTGGTAGATGACCGAGTCCAACGTGCGGTTCATATTCATGATGATGGAGTCGCAGTCGAGCCATGCCACCCAGTCATACTCATTAGACTGGAGGTAGGCAAGCACCGTAGCCAGCTTGGCATGTTGCACTCCCAACCCATGTGCCCCAATGATGGGGTGCTCCAGGTGAAGGCGCAGGGAATAACCATGGTGCTCAGCATAAGCTTCGCGATTCGAGGGCGTGAGCCGGGGCAGCGCCAGTGGATGGCCTTCCGGGTATGCGCAGATGGAGACCACGGCGATGTTCAGTTTCGGGTCACGAAAGGAGGGCGCAATCGGCACCAGGTTCCGAAACTCTCGCCGCAGCCTTTGGTCGTGACCCCGGCGCATTTGCATAATTGCCGGGATTATATGATGTTCAGTCACCCCCCAGGCTTTGGCAGGGCCCTCGGGTATACGATTTGCATTTCGGAGAGTGAAGATGAAGACAAGTGCCAGCTGCAACAGCCTGTATGCCAAGCCAGTCAAACCCTCAGGTGCACCGCCTGCAAAGCCGAGGGTGTCGACAGCTGTAGGGGAAATGAGTCTTGCCAGGATGTAATATCCAGCCACCACGCCGACGTTGCAGGAGAGCACCTCCGTCACATTTGCAGTTCGAGCCAAAAGCTGCTCTGCCAGGCCAACTGCCGCTGCTCTCCTCTCGCCGGAGTTTTCGATCGCTGTGGCCCGCGCGGCCATCTCGTAAGCAGCATGATACGTCTTCCATTCAGAAGTCTCGATAGCACAAGCCAAGTCATCATCAGCCACGTCGGCGTCTACCAGTGTCAAAAGCAATAAAAGGAGTTCAAGAGGGCGCCATGGAAGCATGCCGGACCTATCGGACGCTCTGGAACAATACTCCGAGCAGTGGGGAGGCTCCCTTCGTAGAATACTTGAGCTTGTCTTGTTTAGGGTGATTTTGGCCGCGGCTTGCTGTGACGAGCCTTTGCTGGGCTGACTTGACTTGCCGGCTGCTTTGCTATGTGGGCTGCTGCTGGACAATGGACAATGCCAAAGGACCTGATGGATGCTACCGATCTGAACCACTTCAGAAGCTCTTGAAACGCTCCTGAAGCTCTAAGTTTTCTCGCCTTCGGTCTTGAAATCCTGGGCGACAGACCAGCAGCAGAGAGCCAAGTCCAGCGGCACCTCGGAGACACGAGACGCACGTGTGTGCGTGTGTGTGTGTG